GGCCATCCCTGGCAACACCCCCCCCCACTCTTCATAGACCTAAACTTACTCCCAGTTCAGTACATCCACACTTACTACTGTGCAATCTACATCTACAGGGCCTTAAACTCTAATATCAACCTTGACCTAAAACGCTTTCTTGATAGTTGTGACAGAACCCACAGGCATAACACCAGACACAAACATCTCTACGACATTCCCCGTGTCCGACTAAACCTTCACAAAATTCAATGTATGTCAAAGGCCCTAAAAACTGGAATAAACCCTACCTGAGAACTCTAGAACTGCAGACACATTCATCACCTTCAAAAAATACCCTTAGAAAAACATCTTATCTCCCTGATACAAACCCGTCAACTAACTACACGAATACCACCTGGTAGTTACACTTTACACTCACTCACTCATTTGACCATAAACAGAAAAATTAATCTCAATCTTAAAATAATGAATCCTGTGATTACTCCAATACTGAAACTATGTACTGTGCCAAAACAAAAGCATTCACATTGCTAAACTCACAAACTAGTATTTAGTCACTTAGCCATAATACCAACTTACCTCATAATTTGTAATATTTTACAATTAAGAATAAAACTAAGTCTGCCCGAAATGCCTAGCCATGCTAAGCGTTCTAGTGGTACACTCTGTAATCACAATTTTACTACATGTAAACCACACAATAACCAAATTTCTGTAAACTCAGCATTGTAATCCTTATAGAGAATAAACTTTGAATTTGAATTTGAATTTGAATACTGTCCTCAGGGACAAATTGAATGACCTGATGAGAATGGAGGATAGAATAAGCGATCTTGATCCCCATGATGCTCTGTATCTCCTCACAAGGTGTCTTACTATGCCAAGACTCACTTACTTCTTGAGGTGTGCACCCTCTTTCGACAACCCAACACACGATGAATATGACACACACCTGAGATCAACTTTTAAGAAGGCACTGAACCTGTCACTAGAGGATGAGCAATGGGATCAGGCAACCTTCCCAGTGCGACTGGGAGGTATAGGGGTGCATAAGCAATGCATGTTGCTTTACTGCTTTTCTGTCTTCGTGTTTGGCTTCCAGTGCATTAGTCAAGAAGATTAGTGCCCGAATGCTTGAGAGACTTGGTAGGAGCTCAAGACCCAGGTTTACTGAAGCAGCGAGTCGATGGGACACCTTACAGACTCCTCAGTAGACCAGCTCCTCCCAAACAGCACATACAGTCCCACTGGAACAAAACCGATCATGGAAAAAATCGCCAACACAATGCTCTCCAATGCTTCAGGAAAGAACAAAGCTCGTCTCCTGGCAGTGAAGGCACCACACTCAGGAGATTTCCTGTTAGCTGTTCCCAATTCCTCCCTGGGCACTCGTCTCGACCCCCAGGCCCTTCGGATTGGTGTTGCTCTTCGCCTAGCTGCCCATCCTCACCCAACATAGGTGTATTTGCGGCAGGGCGACAGCTGATCAATTCGGACTTCGTGGTCTCGTGTGCCACACAGCAGAAGGAAAGTATGCCAGACATGAGGAGATCAATGACATAATAAAGAGAAGCTTCGCCACAGCCCGTTGCCCAGCTCATCGGGAACCCCAAGTACAGAGGTCTGATGGAAGTCAAAAGCGTCCTGATGGGAGCCACTATGCTACCCTGGAAGGATGGAAAGCAGATTGCCTGGGACTACACCTGTGCTGCCACATTGGCAGACACCTACTTGCCATACTCTGTAGTGGAAGGGGGTGGAGCTGCCAGCCACAGGGAGACCCAGAAGATCCGAAAATATGAAGACCTTCCCCCTTGCTATAACTTCATTCCATGGGCCAGAGACCCTTGGAGCATGGGGCAAGTGTGCTCTAAAGTCCTCAAAGAGCTGGGTGAAAAGCTCATCATAGAAACCAAGGACCACAGGGCGAACCAGCTTCCTCTTTCAGAGACTCAGTGTTGCAATTCCAGAGAGGAAATGCCTGCAGCATTCTGGGCACACGGCCAACCGCAGGGGAGCTGGACAAAGTATTCGAGATGTAGCTCTGAGTTACCTATGTTGTTTTACTTTCTGTTGTATTTTGTGAATGTTTGGCCAATGTATTTTCTCTTTAAATAAAAATACTTGAATTATAGGGGGTGGTAGGGAAAATTCTCAAACAGCTTCAGGGAGAACCTTGAGTTTTCCCTGAAGCAAGTTTATTCTTTTCTCTGAGGATGAGGGTCCCTATGACAGTTCTAGAGGTGGTACCTCCCTATATATATATATATATATAGATATATATATAATATATATATATTATATATATATATATATATATATATATATATTATATATATATTATATATATGTGTGTGTGTGTGTGTATACAGTCGACCCCCAACTAACGGCGGCATTAAGTAATGGCAATTTCGTCTAACGGCGCTTTTTGCAGTAGAAAAAATGCCTTAACCAACGGCGAAAAACTAACCAACGACGTTTGTCCGGAACTTGTCAATGTGCCCAGAGCGCATCCTGAGCGGGCCCAGCCACTCCAAGAGTCAGTGTGCCATTGTTTACAAGCTTTCGGTTTCCACGTGTGCCTCCCATAAATTTTGAATTATTCCACTATTTCTTTTGCCTGTAACTGCTAAATAAGCCACCATGGGTCCCAAGAAAGCTTCTAGTGCCAAGCCTGTGTTCAAAAGGGTGAGAATTACGATGGAAATGAAGAAGGAGATCATTGAAAAATATGAGAGTGGAGTGCGTATAGCTGAGTTGAAAAGGTAATACAACAAATCACATTCAACCATCAGTACTATCTTGGCGAGCAGACAGGCAATCAAGGAAGCTGTTGTTGCGAAAGGTTCAAGTATCTTTTCAAAACGGAGACCACAAATAGTTGAAGAGGTAGAGAGACTGTTATTGGTATGGATAAACGAAAAACAATTATCAGGTGATAGTGTTTCTCAGTCTATAATTTGTGAAAAGGTAAGGAAGTTGCATGATGATCTCATTAAGAAAATGCCTCAAAATAGTGCTGTTGCTGATGAATTTAAGGCCAGCAAAGGCTGATTTGAGAGATTTAAGATTCGTAGTGGCATACACAGTGTGGTAAGGCATGGTAAGGCAGCCAGTTCAGACAAAAATGCGGCGAAAAATATGTGAAGAACTTAAAGGAATACATAGAGACTGAAAGCCTAAAACCTAAACAAGTGTTTAATTGTGACGAAACATACCTGTTATGGAAGAAAATGCCAAACAGGACCTACATTACTCAGGAGGAAAAGGCACTCCCAGGACATAAGCCTATGAAAGACAGGCTGACATTAATGTTATGTAGTAATGCTAGTGGTGATTGCAAAGTGAAGCCTTTATTGGTGAATCACTCTGAAACTCCCAGAGTGTTCAGGAAAAACAATATCTTCAAGGGTAATTTGTGTGTGCTGTGGAGATCAAACAGTAAGACATGGGTCACTAGGGTATTTTTCTTGGACTGGTTTTATGGTGCGTTTGGCCCCACTGTGACAAAATACCTCCAGGAAAAGAAATTGCCACTCAAGTGCCTCCTGGTAATGGACAATGCTCCTGCTCATCCTCACGACTTGCAAGAGGAAATTGCAGGGGAGTTTGGTTTCGTTAAGGTTAAGTTTTTGCCTTCTAATACAACTCCTCTCCTCCAGCCCATGGACCAGCAGGTCATTTCAAACTTCAAAAAACTCTACACAAAAGCAATGTTTCAAAAGTGCTTTGAAGTGACCTCAGACACTCAATTGACCCTAAGAGAGTTTTGGAAAGATCACTTCAATATCCTCAGTTGTGTAAACCATGGGAGGGAGTGACTAAGAGGACTTTGAACTCTGCTTGGAGGAAACTGTGGCCAGAATGTGTAGAACAGAGGGATGTTGAAGGGTTTGGGGTAACCCTCAGGAGGCTATGCCAGTAGCGGAAGCTATTGTGTCACTGGGGAAGTCCTTTGGGTTGGAGGTTTGTGGCGAAGATGTGGAAGAGTTGGTTCAGAACGACGAGGAAGAAGTAACCACTGCAGACCTGCAAGAGCTTCAGGAGCAACAGCAACAGATCACATCTCAGGAATGTTCTTCAGAGCAGGATGAAGAGAGACGGAGGAAGATGACTTCATCAAGGATTAGGGAAATGTGTTCAATGTTTACAAATTTGCAAGCATTTATCGAAGAATTTTATCCTGTCACTGAAGTTGCAAGCCGCATTGGCAACATGTACAATGACACCCATGTGTCCCATTTTAGGGAAATCCTAAGGGCACGTGAGAAACAGAGCTCTCTGGACAGCGATATTGTGACTCTCAAGCTGGTCCTAGTGGCATTAAAAAACCAAGGAGGGAGGTAACCCCACCAAAGGACTTGGTACCTGAAGTCCTCCTGGAAGGGGATTCTCCTTCCAAGCAATAGACAATTCAGAATCTTCCCTGCTGCTGGCACATCACTCATCAACAACTCCACAATAAAGGTAAGTGGCATTTAATTATTGTTTATTTTGCATGTCCCATTCCTTTCCATATAAGGAAATGTATATTTCATGTAAAAATTTTTTTTTCAGACTTTGGGGTGTCAGAAACGGATCAATTCTATTTCCATTATTTCTTATGGGGAAAATTAACTCGACCAACGGCAATCCCTCTGTAACAGATTAATGACGTTGGTTGAGGGTCCACTGTATATATACACATAAAAGAACATAACATCTCAGAGCTACATCTCGAATACTTCGTCCACCTCCTCAGCATTGGGCCGCTGGACATACGGTGGTGTGGGTGCCTCTGAGCTAATTTCATTCTACTCCCTGTTTGGTGTACTAACCTCAACGAGCCGTATTACCGTATGTCTTTGGACCAAGGGGAACACACCTAGCTTGGTTGGGTGCTTGGTTCTGGTACGATTGAGTGGTCCTGTGGGTTAGAGAGTCATAGGTTTTCGCTCACCATGAGGCAGGCCAAAACAACATGAGTTCGAGTCCTTGGCTAGTCGCAATGTTGTTATTGAGACCGAAGTCAGCTCAATTCAAAACCACGTCTGGGGAGGCTGGTAAGGTTCCCCAAGTGACTCTCTAGACCACTCGGCCAGAGATGCCTTATAAGCTGGACACCCTTGTTCACAAGCAGTATTTCTTCCCTGCCCGGGTACATCAGTGGGTCACAAGCATGATCTAAAATTATTTCATTCTACTCCTGTATAGTCTGACATAAAAAGCGATTTTTATATCAATGCACCACGCATATATAGCCACAAAGAGGTATATACAGAGAAGGATATCAATCAGCAGGATTCATTTGCGTGCCGTCTATCTTCCAGTACCTCATTTTCTGTATCTAATAACTTCCCTCTTTCATCGGCTCTTTGCACTTCTTACCATTCTTTCTATTATTCGTCATATACTCCGCCCTCCTTATATCACTTCCATATTGTAAAAATTCCCTAAAATGCTAACCACTCACTTTACATCCACCAGCTGCTTCTCTTCCTTCCTACACCCACTCTCCTATGTTCACAAACTTCTGATGCACATTGCCTGATTAAATTTACCCAATACATCTTTGATATTGTATGCTGCGCAGGGCAATTCGTTTATAATTGCTACACTGCACTACTGTTAAGCATAACATACTTCCACTAATGGGCCACGCTCACCTGTGGCATCAGCTCCGCTGCTTCATCTCACCTCTGCTCTGGAATATAAGATCGGCCTACATACCTATGATTTAGGTTTGAGGGACTGACCTCCTTGTACAGAGGGTGATGGACTGATAATTATAAACTTCAACTGCTTCGAGTATTCAACTGAAGAAGTCTGTTTTGCAGGCGGAACGTTTTGTCAATAAAGATACCTACAAGTTGTAATTTATTAATATAAATCTCACCTTTGTTTGCTGGCTGGTGATGCCTGCTTCAGGCTGTCGCAGTTTTGGTTCCAGTAACTTAGTGGCAACAATGGCGGCTGGGTTCAGGCCCGTCACAGACATTAGTTGTTGACGGAAATAGTCAGCGTTGGCAAAGTGTAGTGGTCCAGTAAATTGAAAGATGCTTATTTTTGGAACCTCTAGTGCCTGAAGAAGAAGAAAAAAAGGTCGCATGCAATACATGCATGTTTGATTCACTAAATTAAATCACACCTCTCACCATGATGCCAGCTGTGACAGTGGACTAATTTACAGGTGTGTGTGTACTCACCTATTTGTACTCACCTATTTGTGGTTGCAGGGGTCGAGTCCTAGCTCCTGGCCCCGCCTCTTCACCGGTTGCTACTAGGCCCTCTCTCTCCCCGCTCCATGAGCTTTATCAAACCTCGTCTTAAAACTGTGTATGGTTCCTGCCTCCACTACGTCATTTTCTAGGCTATTCCACTGCCTTACAACTCTATGACTGAAGAAATACTTCCTACTATCTCTCTGACTCATTTGTGTCTTCAACTTCCAATTGTGGCCTCTTGTTTCTGTGTCCCCTCCCTGGAACATCCTGTCTTTGTCCACCTTGTCTATTCCACGCAGTATTTTTATATGTCGTTATCATGTCTCCCCTGACCCTCCTGTCCTCCAGTGTGGTCAGGCCGATTTCCCTTAATCTTTCCTCATAGGACATTCCCCTTAGCTCTGGAACTAACCTTGTCGCAAACCTTTGTACTTTCTCTAGTTTCTTGACGTGCTTTATCAAGTGCGGGTTCCAAACAGGTGCTGCATACTCCAGTATGGGCCTGACATACACGGTGTACAGTGTCTTGAATGATTCCTTACTAAGGTATCGGAATGCTGTTCTCAGGTTTGCCAGGCGCCCATATGCTGCAGCAGTTATCTGATTGGTGTGTGTGTGTGTGTGTGTGTGTGTGTGTGTGTGTGTGTGTGTGTGTGTGTGTGTGTGTGTGTGTGTGTGTGTGCGTGTGTGTGTGTGTGTGTGTGTGTGTGTGTGTGTGTGTGTGTGTGTGCGTGTGTGTGTGTGTGTGTGTGTGTGTGTGTGTGTGTACTCACCTATTTGTGGTTGCAGGGGTCGAGTCCTAGCTCGTGTGTGTGTGTGTGTGTGTGTGCGTGTGTGTGTGTGTGTGTGTGCGTGTGTGTGTGTGTGTGTGTGTGTGTGTGCGTGTGTGTGTGTGTGTGTGTGTGTGTGGGTGTGTGTGTGTGTGTGTGTGTGTGTGTGTGTGTGTGTGTGTGTGTGTGTGTGTGTACTCACCTAGTTGTACTCACCTAGTTGAGGTTGCGGGGGTCGAGTCCGAGCTCCTGGCCCCGCCTCTTCACTGATCGCTACTAGGTCACTCTCCCTGAGCCGTGAGCTTTATCATACCTCTGCTTAAAGCTATGTATGGATCCTGCCTCCACTACATCGCTTCCCAAACTATTCCACTTACTGACTACTCTGTGGCTGAAGAAATACTTCCTAACATCCCTGTGATTCATCTGTGTCTTCAGCTTCCAACTGTGTCCCCTTGTTACTGTGTCCAATCTCTGGAACATCCTGTCTTTGTCCACCTTGTCAATTCCTCTCAGTATTTTGTATGTCGTTATCATGTCCCCCCTATCTCTCCTGTCCTCCAGTGTCGTCAGGTTGATTTCCCTTAACCTCTCCTCGTAGGACATACCTCTTAGCTCTGGGACTAGTCTTGTTGCAAACCTTTGCACTTTCTCTAGTTTCTTTACGTGCTTGGCTAGGTGTGGGTTCCAAACTGGTGCCGCATACTCCAATATGGGCCTAACGTATACGGTGTACAGGGTCCTGAACGATTCCTTATTAAGATGTCGGAATGCTGTTCTGAGGTTTGCTAGGCGCCCATATGCTGCAGCAGTTATTTGGTTGATGTGCGCTTCAGGAGATGTGCCTGGTGTTATACTCACCCCAAGATCTTTTTCCTTGAGTGAGGTTTGTAGTCTCTGACCCCCTAGACTGTACTCCGTCTGCGGCCTTCTTTGCCCTTCCCCAATCTTCATGACTTTGCACTTGGTGGGATTGAACTCCAGGAGCCAGTTGCTGGACCAGGTCTGCAGCCTGTCCAGATCCCTTTGTATTTCTGCCTGGTCTTCGATCGAATGAACTCTTCTCATCAACTTCACGTCATCTGCAAACAGTGACACCTCGGAGTTTATTCCTTCCGTCATGTCGTTCATAAATACCAGAAACAGCACTGGTCCTAGGACTGACCCCTGTGGGACCCCACTGGTCACAGGTGCCCACTCTGACACCTCGCCTCGTACCATTACTCGCTGCTGTCTTCCTGACAAGTATTCCCTGATCCATTGCAGTGCCTTCCCTGTTATTCCTGCTTGGTCCTCCAGTTTTTGCACTAATCTCTTGTGTGGTACTGTGTCAAACGCCTTCTTGCAGTCTAAGAAAATGCAATCTACCCACCCCTCTCTCTCTTGTCTTACTGCTGTCACCATGTCATAGAACTCCAGTAGGTTTGTGACACAGGATTTCCCGTCCCTGAAACCATGTTGGCTGCTGTTGATGAGATCGTTGCTTTCTAGGTGTTCCACCACTCTTCTCCTGATAATCTTCTCTATGTGTGTGTGTGTGTGTGTGTGTGTTGTGTGTGTTGTGTGTGTGTGTGTGTGTGTGTGTGTGTGTGTGTGTGTGTGTGTGTGTGTGTGTGGGTGTGTGGATACTGCTGTGGAGTAGCGTCACTTTGCACTGTAAATATGAGAGAGGCAGCGCAGGCTTTGTGAGTTGAACCTCACACTGTATACCCAGTGACGCTTGAGGTTCCTGCCCAGTAAGTTGAACCTCACACTGTATACCCAGTGACGCTTGAGGTTCCTGCCCAGTAAGTTGAACCTCACACTGTATACCCAGTTTGGGCAAATTTATTTAGTAAAAAAATGTTTTATGGCCGGTAACACAGTGGTCCCTTGAGTTACGGTTTTCCTCTCAAATAGGAATTAAATTTTAAGTTATGATAAAAATCTGAAATACTGCCCAGTAAATTAAGCCTCACAATATGTACAGCAGATATGTTTCTGGTGATGTTATTAAACTATCTATGTAACGTTCTTAGTCACATCACATTCACAGAGTTACTCTACACGAATTTCGAAAATAATCTTCAGTAGGAATTATCAGATGAGAGGTGTGAACTACTTGCAGGCTAATGACTGAGACACCTGCACAACACCTGCCTCAGACGAAGCCAGGTGTGTGGGTTGAAAGCCTCACCACTAAAGATACCCAGGTATCGTACATGTGTCTTGTTCATCAGAGTTTTCCTATTTAACGCATGTTAGTGTAAGTCTCAAGACCTGGAGAGTCTCAAAATATCATCCTGTCTGAAAACAGAAATAAAAGTTACAGAAGTGTTGACTGGGACGTCTTCCATTGGCCTGATTAAGTTCTATATAGAGCGAAACTTTGTTACAGTTGATCTGCAATAGGTGACATTTCTACTCAGAAAATAACACTTTTTTGTTACAACTGTTGTTACAACTTACCAGGGAGTACTCTTTGACGTTTAAGTAAACATCGGTGTTTGGAACACGTCCGAGACGAGCAGTTTTGGGTTCTTGTGAACGATAGAGCAGAACCACCAGTGATGTGACGATACCCAACAACAAGCCATAGTCTATGTCTATAATTACAACACCGAGGAAGGAAGCCAGCCATATCATTGCGTCGGGACGAGACACACCCCACACCCTCTTCAGGTCTCTCACCTGCATGAACATTTCCTTCAGTGCCACTACGATGATGGAAGACAGTACACACTGCCAAAAGGGAAATGTTAATATCATTGGTTAGGTTATCATTTATGTTTATATCAATGTTGGTAAATAGTTCATTACAATTGTCACATGCTTATATTTGTCCCTAGTTATGTGCCTCTGTTATCCTTTGAGTACCACCCACAGGATGGGTAAGTTTATTTAACACAGGTACACATAACTACAATTACCATACATAGTGGAAAATTACCTAGGATAACCAAAAAATAAGTGAGACAAAGTTTCTTATTTCAGTTGAGTTCCACCCACAGGATAGGTATATAACGACAACCACCAACAGGATGGGTATGTAGTGACTAACACCCACAGGATAGGTATATAACGACAACTACCAACAGGATGGGTATGTAGTGACTAACACCCACAGGATAGGTATATAACAACTACCAACAGGATGGGTATGTAGTGACTAACACCCACAGGATAGGTATATAACGACAACCATCCACAGGATGGGTATGTAGTGACTACTACCCACAGGATAGGTATATAGCGACAACCACCCACAGGATGGGTATGTAGTGACTACCACCCACAGGATAGGTATATAGAGACAACCACCCATAGGATAGGTATATAGTGACTACCACCCACAGGACAGGTATATGGCGGCAACCACCCACAGGATGGGTATGTAGTGACTACCACCCACAGGATGGGTATGTAGTGACTACCACCCACAGGATGGGTATGTAGTGACTACCACCCACAGGATGGGTATGTAGTGACTACCACACACAGGATGGGTATATAGTGACTACCACGCACAGGATGGGTATATAGTGACTACCACCCACAGGATGGGTATGTAGTGACTACCACCCACAGGATGGGTATGTAGTGACTACCACCCACAGGATGGGTATATAGTGACTACCACCCACAGGATGGGTATGTAGTGACTACCACCCACAGGATGGGTATGTAGTGACTACCACCCACAGGATGGGTATGTAGTGACTACCACCCACAGATGGGTATATAGTGACTACCACCCACAGGATGGGTATGTAGTGACTACCACCCACAGGATGGGTATGTAGTGACTACCACCCACAGGATGGGTATATAGTGACTACCACCCACAGGATGGGTATGTAGTGACTACCACCCACAGGATGGGTATATAGTAACATAAGAACATAAGAACATAAGAATGTAGGAACACTGCAGAAGGCCTACTGGCCCATACGAGGCAGGTCCTTATCAAAACGACATCTATCTAAAGCTACTCAAGAAATAACTCCCGTACCCCTTGACACCAATCAAACCCAGCCCCTCCCACTCATATATTTGTCCAGTCTCTTCTTAAAGCTACCCAAGGTCCTAACCTCTATCACCCCACTGGGAAGATTGTTCCACGCATGTACAACTCTGTTAGAAAACCAGTACTTACCTATGTCCATTCTAAATCTAAATTTATCCAACTTAAATCCATTATTCCTGGTTCTTACCTGGTTCGACACCCTCAGTACTTTATTAATGTCTCCCTTGTTTATGCCCGTCATCCACTTATACACTTCAATGATATCTCCCCTCATTCTACGTCTCTCCAGAGAGTGGAGATTTAAGGCTTTAAGTCTATCTTCATACGGGAGGTTCCTTACACAGTAAATCATTTTAGTCATTCTTCTCTGTATGTTCTCTAATGAGTCTATGTCCATCCTATAGTAAGGGGACCAAAACTGAGCAGCATAATCTAAATGAGGCCTCACTAGTGATGTATAGAGCTGTAAAATAACTTTTGGACTTCTGTTACTTATACTTCTTGAGATAAATCCAAGTAATCTGTTGGCCTTGTTGCGCACACTGAGGCACTGCTGTCTTGGCTTTAGATTTCTGCTTACCATGACTCCCAAGTCTTTTTCGCATTCTGAATGACCAAGCTCTACTTCACCTAGATTATAGCTTCGAGGGTTATTTTCATTACCAAGGGCAAGTACCTTACACTTATCCACATTAAACTTCATCTGCCATTTCTCAGACCAAGACATTAATTTGTTCAAATCGTCCTGGAGTTCATTGATATCCTCCTCAGAGTGAATTATACGGCCTATCTTTGTATCATCAGCAAACTTACTCATGTCACTAGTAATCCCTTCATCAAGGTCATTAATGTAAATTATGAACAAGAGAGGGCCTAAAACTGATCCTTGTGGAACGCCACTAGTGACTAATCCCCATTCAGATTTCACTCCATTAATGGTAACTCTCTGCTTTCTATTGGTAAGCCATGCCTCAATCCATGCTAGAACTTTACCTCCTATACCATGAGCTGCCACTTTTCTTAAGAGTCTCTTGTGAGGTACTCTGTCGAAGGCTTTACTAAAATCCAAATAAACAATATCATATTCCTTATCACTGTCAACTGCCTCAAATGTTCTATTGAAGAACGTCAGTAAGTTTGTCAGGCAGGAACGACCTCTCGTGAATCCATGCTGAGATTCATTTATCAAGTTATGCTCTTCAAGGTGACTTCTGATAATGTCAGCTATAATTGATTCTAATAACTTGCCCACTATAGATGTCAGGCTTATTGGACGGTAATTTGAAGGAGTGGACTTATCCCCTGATTTGAATATAGGAACCACATTAGCCATCTTCCACATCTCTGGCACAACACTGGTAAGGATGGACGCATTGAATACACTCGTTAATGGCTGACTAAGCTCCATCTTGCATTCCTTAAGTACCCTTGAAAACAACTCATCGGGTCCCGGGGACTTATTTTGTTTCAGTTTGTCTATCTGTTTAATAACCATGTCCCTCGTGACAGTAATATTAGTTAACTTAAATTCATCAGGAACTAAATAATTGTTAATTACTGGAATCTCATTTACATCTTCCTGTGTAAAAACTGACAAAAAATAGTCATTAAATAAGGAACACATTTCCAGTTCATTATCCGTCAGCTGTCCATTCCCAGATTTCAGAGGTCCTACTTTTTCCTTCACCTTCGTCCTATACACTTGAAAGAACCCCTTTGGATTAGTCTTTGATTCATTAGCGACTCTAATTTCACCGTCCCGTTTAGCCTTTCTAATAGCCTTTTTTACTTCTCTTTTAAGCTGAACATATTGGTCAGTAAGGTTAACCTCTCCTCTTCTGATGCGCCTATAAATTCCCCTTTTCTCCCCTAATAGATGCTTTAGCCTCCTGTTAACCCATTTGGGATCGTTATTATTAGACCTAATTTCTCTCTGGGGAATGTATATACTCTGGGCACTGTGTACATTATTAAGAAAACAATCATAAAAGCAGATCCCTTCATATTCATAAGTATGATTATCGTCAATAAAATCATTAGCTAGATAACCCCAATCAAGATTAGACAGATGTTCCCTAAGTCCATTATAATCAGCAGAACGAAAATCAGGGATTTTTACTGTATTATCATTATTCTTGCATTCCCAATTAATGCTAAAGGTGATGGATTTGTGATCACTTGCGCCAAGCTCTTCAGTGATCTCCAGATTATTCACTAGTGTTTCCTTATTTGACAAGACTAGGTCTAGCAAATTATTACCCCTGGTAGGTTCAGTTACACACATATGCAACAGTTAGGTATCTTTATTTCGAAACGTTTCGCCTACACAGTAGGCTTCTTCAGTAGAGTACAGAACAGTTGATAGAAGCAGAAGATACTTGAAGACGATGTAATCAGTCCATCACCCTTAAAGTTTTGAGGTGGTCAGTCCCTCAGTCTGGAGAAGAGCATTGTTCCATGGAACATCTTGTCTCTGTCTACCTTGTCTATTCCACGCAGTATTTTGTATGTCGTTATCATGTATTCCCTAGCCCTCCTGTTCTCCAGTGTCGTCAGGCCGATTTCCCTCAACCTTTCTTCATAGGACATTCCCCTTAGCTCTGGAACTAACTTTGTCGCAAACCTTTGCACTTTCTCTAATTTCTTAACGTGCTTGACCCGGTGCGGGTTCCAAACTGGTGCTGCATACTCCAGTATGGGCCTGACGTACACGGTGTACAGTGTCTTGAAAGATTCCTTACTTAGGTATCGGAATGCTAATCTCAGGTTTGCCAGGCGCCCATAAGCTGCAGCAGTTATCTGGTTGATGTGTGCTTCTGGAGACGCGTTTGGTGTTATACTCACGCCAAGATCTTTCTCCTTGAGAGAGGTTTGCAGTCGTTGACCACCTAGCCTATACTCTGTCTGCGGTCTTCCTTGCCCTTCTCCGATCCTCATGACTTTGCATTTGGCAGGGTTGAATTCGAGAAGCCAGTGGCTGGACCACTTGTCTAGCCTGTCCAGGTCTCTTTGAAGGCCTGCCTGATCCTCATCTGATTTAATTCTCCTCATTAACTTCACATCATCTGTGAACAGGGACACCTCTGAGTCTATCCCTTCCATCATGTCATTCACATATACCAAAGATAGCACTTGTCCTAGGACCGACCCCTGTGGGACCCCGCTCGTCACAGGTGACCACTGTGATACCTCATCATGTACCATGACTGGTTGTTGCCTCCTCGTCAGGTATTCTCTGATCAACCGAAGTGCCCTTCCTGTTATACGTGCCTGATCCTCTAGTTTCTGCACTAATTTCTTGTGAGGAACTGTGTTTAAGGCCTTCTTGCAGTTCAAGAAGACGCAATCAACCCACCCTTCTCTCTTGTCTCTTCTATTACTTTATCATAAAACTCCAGAAGGTTTGTGACACAGGATTTGCCTTCCATGAAACCGTGCTGGTTGCCATTGATACTTTTCTATCGTTCCATGTGCTCCACCACTCTCCTCCTGATAATCTTCTCCATGACTTTGCATACTATACACGTCAGTGACACTGGTCTGAAGTGTAGTGCCTCTTTTCTGTCTCCGTTTTTAAAAATGGAACTGCATTTGCCGTCTTCCATATCTCAGGTAGTTGCCCAGTTTCAAGGGATGTGTGAAGATTGTGGTTAATGGGACACAGCATTTCTGCTCCCTCTCTAAGGACCCACAAGGAGATGTTGTCTTGTCCCAT